TTCAGTTTTTGAAAGGCAGACAATAACATTCTTTTATGCCAAAGGGCCTTTGCACTTACATTCCCATTGCCTAAAACATCCCCACATATTTCTCAATTATTTTTCAATCCTCACCTGAAGACTGCTTAGAGAGAGGAAGAGAGAGAGAAACATCAATGTGAGAGAGAAACATTGACCAGTTGCCTTCTATACATGTCCCAAAGGGAAATCGAATCCACAACCCAGATATGTGCCCTGACCAGGAAACGAACCAGAAACCTTTTGGTGCACAGAACTACACTCAACCAACTGAGCCACTCCAGACAGGCACATCTTTTAATTCTTAGGTGAAGAATTGATTCCTCAGGTGAGTTTTCTAACACCTTCCCCCGAGTCCTCTTACATATACTGCATAGTATTTCTTTCAGAGCATAAGAACTATAGTAACTTATGGTTTGTAACCAAACACTTATAACTTGAAAAATGACTATGCAAACTGTGTATACTCTGAAAAACATATTGACAGGCTTAAATAACCAATTTTTTAAAAACCTACTTACTACTTTCTAGAATAATGAAGTTAATTTTATATTTCTTATGCACCCTTATGTTCATAGCAGCACAATTTACCATAGCTAAGATTTGGAAACAGCCTAAGTGCCCATCAGCAGATGAGTGGATTAAAAAGCTGTGGTACATCTACACAATGGAATACTATGCTGTGGTAAAAAAGAAGGAATTCTTACCATTTGCAACAGCATGGATGGAACTGGAGAGCATTATGCTAAGTGAAATAAGCCAGTCAGAGAAACGTAAGTATCACATGATCTCACTCATTTGTGGAATATAATGAACAACATAAACTGATGAACAAAAACAGATCCAGAGACAGAGAAGCATCGATCAGACCATCAAACCTCAGAGGGAAGGCAGGGGAGGGTGGGGGTAAGGAGGAGAGATCAACCAAAGGACTTGTATGCATGCTTATGATTCTAACCAATGGACACAGACACCAGGGAGGTGAGGGCATGGGGGGGGGGGGGAACAATGGGGTGATAAGGACACACATGTAACACCTTAATAAAGAAAAAAAATAAAAGTAAAAAAAATTTATATTTCTTCTTTATAAACAAGTCAGTGTCATGCTCTAGAGCAGCACTGCCCACTTTAAATACAATATAAGCCTCATATATACAATGCTTCTGTATTCTTTTGTACTAAAAGACTATTTTTTTAATTAAAAAATCTGTACCTCCACTATTTACTGAGCATCTACTATATACAAAACTGCTAGGTTCTATAAGGAGGAGTAAAAGGAGTCATGACCTTTGAAAAATAACAATTAGAGGGGACAATACAAGAAAACAGTAAAAGCCAATTAATGAGGCAGAATATAAACACCATATGAACTAAAATGTGGCTATAAGGATTCTAAGAAAAAAATCTTACTTAACTGGGAAGAGGGAAAAATGCTGAAATGAGAAAAACAAGCTTCATAAAGGAGAAAGAATTTGAAATGGGAAGGGTTTTAATTGAGAGAGGAAAAGGCAGGCGCTAAAGATAAAGCATGCGGCAACTGTCAAGAAGTAGGAAATCACACAGTAGAGTCTGGTTAGAAAGTAGGATAGACGGAATAAGGCAGTTATGCTGACGACCTTGAATTTTAGAAGGTAGCACCTCTGTAAGTTTTTTGTTTAGTAATGGGTAAATTATTAAAGATTCCAATTCAAGAAACTGTTCTACCACTTTTAATCACCTCTGTTGCCACCACCATCTTGGTTCAGGCCACTACCATCTCCTAGCTACATCACTGTAACCACCTCCTAACGGAATCTTCCTGCTTTCACTCTTGCCAAACAGATCATTTTGAGCTCTTTACTCAAAAACCCTGCAATGGTTTCCTATCTCACAGAGTAAGAAGCCCAAGTCGCTGGTTTGTCTACAAAGTCCCTACAACATTGCCTTCTCACCCTCTAACTTGCTGATCACAGCTACTACTCTCTGCTTGTAATTTCTTGAATATCCCAGGCATTCTTTTACCTCTCCCCTCCTTATTCTCTTCTCCTTCTTCAGACAGGTCTTGAGCCTTTTCTAACTCAATCCTATCTAAAACTGCAAGTACCACCAACCTCTCACCCCAATTCAAAGTAAAAAAGTTTGTACTTGTTTATCTCCCTAAACTGACTATTTTTCTCCGTAATACTTAACATCATCTGCCATCTGTATATTTCATTTGTCTATCCACATATACAAACGTGTGTGCACACACATATAAGAATATGAAGCCTTATGACAGCTAATTTTTCCCCTGGATTATTCACTTCATATCCCCAGGGAAAACAAAGCCTGATATACAGCAAGTGCTCAGTTAAGAACTTGCTGTATGAATGGCAAGAAAAGAATACCATGGTGTTAGCAGATACTTAGTTGAAATGATTTGCAGCATACTATAAATATTTATGTAAATATTTATATAAATAGAACCTACGTGAATTTATTCTAATTTACTACTTGATTTTCCTCTGGGAACTATTCACCAAAATACTGCTTGTAGATTAAGCTTTGAGCATACAGACAACCTTTAATTTATTAGCAATTTATCTTTGCAAGGTTTACTTAAGTTATTCAGAATGGGGTGGTAGTGACTGAGGAATGATAGGACAGAGTCTTAAATCTATTTTCCTTCTCTTTTCACTCCTCCCAAACTAATAAGCAATGACTCCCCCTCTTCCCATTACTGTATAGCTTCAGACCTTTTCCCTTTCTCGGGGGATAGGTCTAATCCGGACCTATGAGCCCCTACCCTAGGGTAAGGCCAGAAATGGAAATGAGGAGTGTGATACAGAGCTACTGAGATCAGTGGCAGCAATCAGAGGAGAGCCCAGGCAAGAGAAGCAGCTGCAGAGGTATCTGGAGAGGGCAACATTTCTTAATCCGATTACTTTTCAGTTAGAGGCTCCTTGAATTTTAAAAGGAAGTCAACACAAAATGACACCAATTCCTTCCCTATCCTCTTTTAAAGTATACTATGCTGAAAGACAGAGTGATACTTTATATCAGTGTTTCTCAACCTTCCTAATGCCGCGACCCTTTAATACAGTTACTCATGTTGTGGTGGCCCCCAACCATAAAATTATTTTTGTTGCTACTTCATAACTGTAATTTTGCTACTGTTTTGAATCGTAATGTAAATATCTGATATGCTATATGTGTTTTCCGATGGTCGCGACCCACAGGTTGAGAACCGCTGCTTTGTATAGTTTAAACGAAAAAACTGAACTTTTAATTTCATTATGATTTCTAGCATACAACAAAGTTTAGGGTGTGTGTGTAATGAATGAGCAAGTACCCACCACCTAGTTGTGTTGAAACTTAATCTTTTACCAAATCAGCTTCAGATTTAAAGACAGTAAATTTATGGTTGAAAACCCTTGGGCCCTTCCTAGATCCTTTATCCCTCTCTAATTCTCCAGAGGTAACTTTTAATTCTGATTTGCCATTTATCATTACCAGGTATATTTTTATACTTTTGTTACATATTTCATGATTCCCCCCAAAAATATTGTATATTTTTGCATACGTTAAAACTATATAAATGGTATATTATATCCTGGCTTAACAGCTGTTTGACTTTAAGCAAGTTAGTGCCATCTCTCTGCCTCAGTCTGCTCTCTAGAAAATGGGGATAATGCCACCTACTAGCTTACAGAGTTGTTGTGAGGATTAAATAAATTAATGTATGCAAAACAGTTTACTCTTGTATTATTTATTAACTATTGTATTACTTTCCATACGAACAACTTGCCCCACCCTATACTTCTGGGAAGAGTTAAAAATTACCAGGAAAACGAACATTTAAGCCAGCAAAGGGCATAAATGTCAACTGCATAAATTTTATCAACACAATAGTGTTGAAACATTTGTTCCACCTAGAGTTTGGCAAATATCTGTGTCTAAAAGGTTAACTGAAAGCAACAATTTAAATGTAACACAAAGGATTAAACTGTCTCCCCCCACGACCCCTCCTCCCTCCCAGAAAATCCCCCAAACTGGGGAGTACGAACGTAGCCAGTGAAAGGGAAGATTCAAGTTCTACTTTTCTTCTCCTAAAGCGAGAACGCTGAAATGGAACCTTTGCTTTTGTCTCATTTATCCCCAGTAAAATATTCACATGTACGAGTTCATCCTTCGCTGGCCCCAGTAGAAAATTTAGTGGGAAACCAAGCTATAACTTGCATTAACCAACAAGAGAAAAACCTAGCCAGGCTCAGTACTTTCCTAGTGGAGAAGGGGCCCCACCACCGTTCACCCTATATCCTCTGTCCTCGGCCCAAACAAGACATGAGCACCTGCCAAGCTGGGCGCGTAAAGAATAATAATGGTCCAACTTCTCGAACGCAATCTGGGGAAGAGACGCAGGTTATTTCTCGAGGAGCGCAAGAAGGGAGCAGAAAAGGTCCTTGCAGGAAGGGATGCATGAGCTTTGGGGCCGTCTCCTCCGCCCGCAGGAGAACTCGAAATCCGCTTGCTTCAGAGACCCCTGGGAGCAGCACACTCCGGTCGCCGCCAGCCTCCGGCCTGGGCGAAGCAGGCAGTGTTTACACCTGTCACGAGGGAGGAGGAGGGAGAAACAGGGAGCCCCAGCCAAGCCCCAAACTTCTCAGCAGCTCCCGGGAGGGAGCGGCCGGCGCGGAGCTGTGGGCAGGTGGAAGCGCAGGGACAGGGCGAGCCGGCGGCGGCCGGGGAGGTGACGACGACTCACTTCCCCGGCCGGTGCCTGGGGTGGCAAAGGAGGAAGCTGTACGCTTCGGGCGCCGCCGCCGGCTTCCCCGCACCCGCCGCGGAAGAGGGCAGAGCCCGAGCCCGGAGCCCGCAGGCCCGCAGAGCCGGCACCTCCCCGCAGCCCCGGGCTCCGCGGCAGACAGGTGCCCCCTGGCCCGGCGAGGGTCTGGCGGGTGGGCTGGGTCCTCTCACCCTCTTCCCCCCAAGCGTGGCTGGGGGAGAGGAGCAGTGGCGCTTACCTGGCTCGTCCGGGGCGGCCGCGATGGGCATGGCTCAGGGGGCCGGGGAGGAACTGGCTCCCCCGGGGAAGGACTGGCGATTCCGACGCGGAGCTGGTGAGAGCGGAAGGCAATCGACTCACAGCCCTGTCAGCGAAGCAGCGCCATGGACGCCCACCCGGAGTTTCAGCGCTGCCGCGGAACCCCCATCCCATTACCCTCCGCCCTCTTCCGCCGCCGCCGCTGCCGCCGCCGCCTCCACCTCCTCCTCCGCGGAGACCCCCCGCCCACTCCACACACTCTCCCATCATGCAGCGGGGGAACCGCTGCTGCTATACGTCACTTCCGGGCGCAGGTGGCTAGGTCGGGGCCGGGCGCTGGTGGGTGCTGGGGAGGCGTGTGGGAGGGAAACTCCAAGGGAGTTAGTGTCACAGAACGCTACCCCGCGCAGGCGCCGTCGCGCAGAGCGCCGGCCGCCATTTTGGGTGAGGGCAAGTTGCCCTATTCTTGACTTCCTGGGGAGTCACCGAGTGGTTCGAGGTCGGGGAGAGGCGGCGACGTCCTTCCGCACTCCGCCGCCCGCCCAGGCAGCGCTCCGGGCGAGGGACAGGTGCTTCTTAGCGGATTCATATTGACGCTCAGCTCGGGACGGGCTAAGTCTCTTGCTCGCCCAATAAAATGACTAAGGTTTTGAAATACCGAATCCTATCTTCCAAAAAAACTACAATGGAGCACTGATCAGCTTGTCCTTTTTCATTCACTCATCTCTCCCTCTTTGTAATTCAATATGACAGAAGAGGAAGCTGATGTTTAACAAATAAAGAAGAGATTGTTATACATGAAACTTACGAGGGGAAGCAAGAGGGGAAAGTCGCCGCCGCACTGACAAATCGTCTTGGAGACCCAACACCACAAATACGGGATTTTGTGAACGGATGGAGACTGTGGTCGTTTGTTTGTTTGCTTGCTTGTTTGTTTTACCGACGCTGCGGGAGACTATCCGACGAGACTAAAGACATCCAATAAACTTCTGCATTTCTCTAACAGGTCACACAGACTCTTTTTCCATCATCAGCGTTGAGCAGTTGGTCACTGCGGGTGTATGAGTTTCCCCCCGCGTTTATCGTGAATAAAAACCAGAGTGCAAGGCTGCACGGGTTACTGTCCTCATCTGGGGGGATGAGCCGGGGGTCCTTCTCCTCGCATTTGCCACGCCTGCAACGGCGATCGGAATAATTTAAAATATTGCAAAACAGCAACGCTCAATAGCTGCCCAGAGAAACGGGATGAAAAGCACCCCCTTCGGCCACCGGGAAGCGTCCACCCCTCGGAGTGGAGGCATTTCCCACGTCGGGGAAGATGAGGACAAAAGCAGTTCATCACGGTTCACCCCGCCTCCGCGATGTTCCGGGCGAATTACCTCGAAGCGCAGAACAGACCCGCATTTGTCTCCGCAGCTCCTTCGCTGTCAGATGCGCGTAGACGACATCCTTTTAACTTGGAGGACCTCCAATTGCTTCGTGGCCAGTGCGGCTGGATTTCTGGTTATTGTGAAAGCGAGAGTAATCCATAGGGCTTGTCAAATGTATTCCTATTGTGCTTCGCCCCCTGCTGGTTTTAGCTCTCCTGCATGATTGAATATACATGTATATGTTAGTGTAAGTTTATTACCGAAGAAGGAAAGAAACAAAAATGTGCGTGTGTGTGTAGAAACTGGAAATTAATTCTTTTAGATGAACACATGCTTGTTTTTATTTGATAGCTCTACTCAATAGAAATATCAGAATAATAACAGATGACAAAATCTTAAAGCTGAACCTATATCAAGAAAATGTTTAAAGTGAAATAATTAAACATCAAAACATTCAAAAGAAAACCCTGCTTTCAGAAAAAAAATCCTCCTGATTTCATACATAATATGTGATTATGATTTTTTTTTTTTCGGGTATGCAGAAGCCAATCCTGATCACTAAGGACAATTAAGAAATCAGAGGCCAACGTTGTACATGGAACTAGAGTAGTTATTTGGCCAGCTGACTTGTGAGTGCAATCAACCAATTGTAATTGGTAATCCTACCATAATTCTGAAGACAGCATTTCAATGCCTGTGAAATTGTATTACAAAAGGAAAGTCTTTATCTCTGAATGTTTTTTAAGATGATGAATCTGTGGGAAACATACTTACTAAATTCATTGCATTTGGGTCCAATGATAGTATTGTTTTTATTTACTCTTTAAAAATTATGACCATAACTACATTAGCTAAGATTTTGTATCAAGAAAAGAAAAAATAAATGACCAGTTATCATTTGTGGTATTTACTGTTTTTTTTTCTCCTGTGCAGAATTTTTACAAAGTTGTAGTCATCATATAAGTTGATTTTGTATCCTTTTGTTCACTTAATAGTATAAGTATTCCCTACTATTGCTTAACATTTTATAAAACCTTAATTTTACTTTCCTACATAGTATTCAATGGAGTAGACTGACTTATCCATTATCCTACTCATAGATATTTCCCACTATTATAAATAATATTTTGATGAACATTTCTTTGCATGTGGCTTTGTCTGATTTTAGGGATTTCTTCTCAATATGAAAATGGTTGAGCCAAAAGGCTATATTTTACTGGTACTTCATCATCTCAGATTATTTCTTAAAAGACTTCCAATTTACAATGTCGCCAGTGATATAGGAATGTATCAATTTTACCTCCTCACCAGCAGTGGATAATAATTAAAAGAAATAAAAAGATAAAATTGTATTTTATAGACTAAAAGTTAAAAGAAACTTAAACTTATATTGTATAAGATATCAACAAACAAGCAAGCACAAAACCCCAGCAATGTGTGGTTCTGGAAAAGTAATTTACACTGACTTTGTATGAATTACTTAACCTCTCTAGACCTCATATATGTCAAATGAGAGAAGAACTAGACCACAGATTCTCAACTCTACTAGGACGAGTAACTACTGTGTTTAGCACATTATCTCTTTGAGAATATGGTCAAAGATTTGTCCCTTTCTGCAGAAAATGCTCATCCCCCAGATGCTCAAATTTCCTAAACCTAAATCTCATTAATGGAAGAGAGTCTATAAGTGCCAGCTTAAGAAACCCTGTACCAGAAGATCTCTAAGGTCCTTTCCATATTTAAATATTTTCCTATGACTTTACTTTATAACCCAGTAAACACTTTTTAGTGGATAAGTAGTGATATATCCATAGATGTATTACTATTCAGCACACTTAAACTAGAGCTATAGGTATCAATCAGATTAGATTATAAAAACAAAAGTGAATTTTCTGAATACATATGAATTTTTCAATGAATGTTACTTTAAAACTAAGTCAATACTTTATTACTTATGGATATGCTTTTTATAGTAAAGTATAAAAATATGGATGGGCATGATATACACAAATTCATTATGGACTAGTATGAAATGGCTCAAAAAGTATTAAAGAAGACTTATTTGTAATTGCAATGTTTTATATCTTTAAAAGATCTGATGTAAATGTGACAAACCATTTATATTTTTTCCAGCTTTATTAAGATATATTTGGCAAATAATTACATGCATTTAAGGTGTAAAACTTGATGTTTTGATTAAACCATTTACATTTAATTATAGGTGGAGGGTACATGGATGTTTGTTATATAATTATGTGCCATGTTCTATATTCATTTTCTTTCATGGTTAAAAAAATAACTTTTCCAGAACCAGTTAGTTTAAAACTATGAATTGTGAACAGGGTCCTAGAGATAGTTCTTGATTATGCTAATGCTAATATATTAGATTTGCAGAATATTTCAAAGTGCCTTTACGTATGTTATATCTTCTGATTTTCACACAGATCCCTATGGAGCCAATTAATGCCATTTTATAGAATATGTGGCCACATATTTTGAGATTTGTACAAGATCAAAATGTTAGAGATGGAATTAGGACTAGAACTGTGACCTCTTGCTTCATAGCCCCTCCCTCCTATACCATCTGGCCTTCTCACTCTACAGACGAGGAATATTATGGTCCCTCAGTTTCTTCATGGGTAAAAGAAAATTTGCCTCGTTTTGTCATTGAATACGCCTTTTCCATTTTCTTTATGTTTGAGTTATTTCCTAATGGAGTTTTTTTCTTCTCACAATGAGTAAGGTTAATAAATGGAACAAGCTTTCACTATAATCTAAAGTACCATGTATACAGAATTGAAGCCTTTGAAAAATTTGCTGTAAAAAGTTTAGCAGCATGGGAAATCATGTAGTCCAAAAGTAGTCTCTCCTCCCAGTTTAAAAATATACATATTTTTATTGATTTCAGAGAGGAAGGGAGAAGGAGAAAGAAACATCAATGATGAGAAAGAATCATTGACTGGCTGCCTCCTGCATGCCCCACACTGGGGATCGAGCCTGCAACCCTGGCATGTGCCCTGACCAGAAATCAAACCGTGACCTCCTGGTTCATAGGTCGATGTTCAACCACCGAGCCACGCCAGCCGGGCCCCCCAGTTTTACAGGTGAGATTCATAATGTCCTAAGGGGTTAAATGACAATGATGTCCTCAGTCATCCAGTTGGATTCTTGAGAACTAGAAACCAGATTTCATGTTCCTAACACAGAGTAAATCCCATTTTTACTCCACATTACTTCTTGTTTGATACAATCTTCTCTTTTTCACCAAAGCACATAAGAAACCAAAACTATTTGGGACCCAAATAAACTTGTTTTCTATATACTCAGCTGGCTATGACCATAATATAAGATGTGCTGAAGATAAACATTCATGCTGGGTATAAATTGTGCTAATCACATGGAATAACAGTATAAAAAGAAGCTTATTTTATAACAACAATACAAGTAAACTTTTTTGTTGCTAATGTTTTTGTTGCTGGTTTGATGGGGACTTCCTCATTTTATACTTGGTGAAACAACAGAGATTTTGTTTCTTAATCATTCCCACTGGTCTTTGTAGGACTTGCTAAGTCTATTGCATAAATAATGGAAATTACAATTTAATGTTTTGATACTTTCTGGATTACTGGATAGCTAGAACACTCTGGACAAATATTCAAAATGTCAGGACAGTGTAGACCTTTCCAAAGATAAAGTTTTAAAGGACAGGCTCCTGGTGGAATTCAAATTAATACATAACATTTAAAGTAAGGACCCTGAAGACATTTCCTAAATGTAGAGGAAGAAAGGCTAATACCTAAATTTGACTCCTCTTTGGTTGGCTTTATTAACATGTTGAAGTGACCAGCACAGAAGTCATTGGCTAATTAAATGTGCTACTTAAAAAATAA